CTCCCCCAAAAGATACCAAAATCTACAAATGCTCAAGTCCTTTATACAAAATGGCATAGTATTTGTATCTAACAAATGTATTTGTATAGTAATTGTATATATACATCCTACTTTATACTTTAAATCATCTCAAAATTACTTATAATACCTCATACAGTATAAAGTCTATGTAAATAGTTTTTATAGAGTACTGTTTAGGGAATAACACTAGGACAAAAGTCTGAACATGTTCAGTACAGATACAACCATGCAAAATATTTTCAATCCAAGGTTGAATGACTCCACAGATGCAGAACCCACAGATACAGAGGGCCAAATACTTGACCTTTGTCCCCAGTTCCTGGCACAGAGTTCCTAAAACCCAAGGAATATCCTCAGTGATAGGTGTCTCTTCACTCTTATTCATAATATATATTTTATTGCATTTTAGGTTTGGGGGTACGTGTGAAGAACATGGAAGACTGTTGCATAAGTACATACATGGCAGTGTGGTTTGCTGCCTTCCTCCCCATCACCTATATCTGACATTTCTCCCCATGTTATCCCTCCCCAACTCCCTATCCCCCACTGTCCCTCCCCTAGTTCCAATCCCCAAAGACCCCAGTGTGTGATGCTCTCCTCCTTGTGTCCATGGGGTTCTCATTGTTCAACACCCGCCTATGAGTGAGAATATGTGGTGTTTGATTTTCTGTTCTTGTGTCAGTTTGCTGAGAATGATGGTTTCCAGGTTCATCCATGTCCCTACAAAGGACCCAAACTCATCGTTTTTGATGGCTGCATAGTATTCCATGGAGTATATGTGCCACATTTTCCCTGTCCAGTCTATCATCCATGGGCATTTGGGTTGGTTCCAAGTATTTGCTATTGTAAACAGTGCCGCAACGAACATTCGTGTGCCTGTGTCCTTGTAATAGAACGATTTATAATCCTCTGGATATATACCCAGTAATGGGATTGCTGGGTCAAATGGAATTTCTATTTCTAGGTCCTTGAGGAATCGCCACATTGTCTTCCACAATGGTTGAACTAATTTACACTCCTGCCAACAGTGTAAAAGTGTTCCTATTTCTCCACATCCTCTCTAGCATCTGTTGTCTCTAGATTTTTTAGTGATTGCAATTCTAACTGGCATGAGATGGTATCTCAATGTAGTTTTGATCTGCATTTCTCTAAGGACCAGTGATGATGAGCACTTTTTCATATGTTTGGTGGCCTCATATATGTCTTCTTTTGTAAAGTATCTGTTCATATCCTTCACCCACTTTTGAATGGGCTTGTTTTTGTCTTGTAAATCTGTTTTAGTTCTTTGTAGATTCTGGATATTAGCCCTTTGTCAGATGGGTAGATTGCAAAAAAATTTTCCCATTCTGTTGGTTGCTGATTCACTGTAATGACTGTTTCTTTTGCTGTGCAGAAGCTGTGGAGTTTGATTTGGTCCCAGTTGTCTATTTCAGCTTTTGTCGCCAATGCTTTTGGTGTTTTAGTCCTGAAGTCCTTGCCTACACCTATGTCCTGAATGGTTTTGCCTAGATTTTCTTCTAGGGTCATAATGAGTCTGTTTCACTCACATCTGAGTTTATGCTAATGATGTGACTTAAGAGTGGGGCCCCTAGATGACCTTGGAATGAAGGTGGTCACCAGAAAGAACAAATAGTAAGAGGGTTGGAATTGCAGCCTTAGCCACTGACTCCACCCCAGGAAGTGAGGTGGGAGAGAGTGGAGATGAAGCTCTGTAGAAACTCTTAAACAATGAGCTCTGATTAGCTTCTAGGGCTGTCGAACACACCGAGCTGATTAGAGGGTAGTACACCCAGAGAGCTCACAGAAACTCTGCACTGCCTCCCACATTCCTATGCATCTCTTCCATTTGGCCGATGATGAGTTGTACCCTTTATAATAAGCCAGCAAGAGTAAGTAAACTGTTTTCCTGAGTTCTGTGAGCCACTTTAGCAAATTATCTAACCTCAGGAGGAAATGGAGGGAACCTCTAATTTATAGCAGATGGTCAGAAGTACAGGTGGCCCAGGACTCACAAATGGTGTCTGAAGTGGAGGGTGGTCTTGTAGGAATGGGCCCTTAAGCTGTGGGGTCTGCACTAGCTCCAGATATATACTGTAAGAACTGAATTACACTGAATTGTTGAACACCCATTTGGTGTCTGGAGAATCAGAGAACTGGTTGCTGGTGCTGGAAAATAACCCAGAAAGATTATTCACCTTAGCACCATTTGAAATAGCAAATGATTAGTAACAACAAAACAAGTTAATTTACCTTTGGTACATTAATAGTATTTATGGGTATATCCATTTAACTGTATACTACAAAGCTGAAAAAACAATGTAAAATATTTACATGTAATCAAATCACAGATCTGTTATATTAAGTAAAAAAAAAAAAGGTGCAAAAAAGGGACTATAGTATGATACCTTTTTTAAAAAACAAGGATATGAAGGAGAATATATATCTCCACATTTCTGTGTAGAGGATTTGAGTAAAATACATATTATCAGAAGGTACATCAAATTTCTTGACAGAAACCCAATATATTAGTAACAATGGTTGTCCCAAGAATGGAAAGTGGATGACTGAGAAATAATGGAGGAAAGGAAACCTCATTGTGTATCTTTTGTGCCATTTAAATTTTTAAATATATGAACATATTTCTTTAAAAAATGTAAATTAAAATAACATCTTAAGACACAAAACAAAAACTACTGCTCTTTGGACAGATGAATCAATTTTGACTTTCAAACTACTAACCTGGAAATAAACAAAAGTTTTGTTGTCTACAACGGTGAAGAAACCATTACTGGACTTGCCTACCCATCTTAAAAATACAGTTTTTCAGTTATATAAATGAAATGACTGCTTTCAGACAATGGACAACAAGCAGTGAAAGACTGTGATTTAAGAAAAAAGGAAGGTGCAACAATGAAAAAGAAC